TTCGTGAAGTCACATAGGATCGGTTAAAGAAATTAGTTTTAATTTATATTTCTATTATATTTCTCATTTTTTTTAATTCTCACTCACATTATCTCCACTATTAACTTCCATTATCTTAACTCCCTTACTAATTTCATCATTTATCTCTCAAATACTATTATTTCATGAAGCCATGTGGGATCAATTTAAGAAATTAGTTTTAATTTACATTTCTCATTTATTTTTTAATTCCTACTCCCATTATCTTCACTATTAACTTCCATTATTTTAACTCCTTTAAAAATTTCATCATTTATCTATCAACTTTTCTCCCACATTATGTTCGTTATCTTAACTTCCATATCACTTTATCTCATTATAAAATTTTAAATTCCTAATTCAAAAATGTGATGTCAACTCATCTTTATTCTTATTAAAATATGGAAAAAGAGACTATTCATAATTTGAATATGATTTTAATATATATGATTTTTCAAATCTTGCACCATAATTGTTTTTAGGAATTTCATTTTAAAATGTCTTGTAATTTATAATTTAAATTATATCAACTCAATTTTATAAATTTTTATTTTTATTAAAATTCAGATAAAAAAAGAAATAACCACGATTTGAATATGATTTTAATATATAAAAATTTAATATGCATGATTTTTTAGATGTTGGATTATAACTTCCTTTACCAATTTTAAAATTTCTTATAATTTAGAATTTAAATTAAATTAACTCATTTTTATAATTTTTTTTAATTCTTATTTTTATAAGCAGCAATTTAATATTTTTGTCAAACATGGGTTGCATTCGCTGGCAAGGAGAACTATATATAGCACATCCTCCCCATGAACCCACGATCTGCATTATGAAAAAATGTTTAGCAGTTATAGGGTACATTGTCCTTGGCCCATGGATTCCACTTCCTCTTTAGCGATTTTATAAATATTTATTCTTTTTGTCCTTCCATCCTAATGGGAAGGGATAAGTAGAAGTACGGTCACAACTTAATGATGCTATCACTATTCGAAATCCCCTCGTCTATCATTTATGAAATTCATCATTCCCAGTATCCATCCCTCTCAATTTTTTTTGAAATATGGAATTTCAATAATGAATATTGAAATGCTTTTAGGACTCGATGAGATTACATCCTTCAACTCCCTACTAATAACATGAAATCCAATATTCTCATGCATATCTTCTCAATCAACAACTTCTGATGCCCATCATGTAGGTAATTCTTAGATATTTTGAAAAATTAAGAGGCTTTTAGCATGGTATAATATATTGTTATTGTCAGCACTTATTGAGTTTAAGCCTTTATGATTTAGAAGGTATTTGTGTTCAAAGTTAGCAGACTTATTGTATTATTCTCTTCAATGATTCTCTTTTATATAAAAGGATATATTATAGTTGAAATTTTGAGTGGGCATGTCAATAATTGTTAATTATATCCCTGAAGCAAATATGATTTTAAAATAAACATAACTTTTGATCCCTGCACTTTACTTGGATTTTGCTTTTGGTCCCTATAATTTTTTTACGGTGTTTTAGATCCCTACATTTTTATTTTTCATTATTTTTGATCCTTCTGTGAGCAAAGTATAGGGACTTTGGAAGGACCCAAAATAATGAAAAACAAAAGTGTAGGGATCTAAAACACTGAAAAAAAAAGTATAGGGATTAAAAGCAAAACGCGAGTAAAGTACTGGGACCAAAAGTTATATTTACTCGTGATTTTATGTTGTAAATTGGGGATTGTACACTGAAATTTATGTTCCCATTTACAAGATGGTGAAAATATATTTTAATGATTTAGCAGATAGTCATGGCTTTTTTTATCAATATTCATGTAATAATTTCAAAACCTAGTCTAATTGTATGAATGAGACTGGCTAATGGCAGCGGCAACTTATTTTTGTAAATGTTATGGTTAGTAAGAATGTATCGCTTTAATTTATATAGGTGAATGTGGAGGATAAGGGGTACTAATTCTTACTACTTTAAAATATATTGTCCGATTTTAAAAAGATTTATACTGAATATAATTTATATTTATGATATTTTTCTTAACAATGAGGAATTGGGGGGTCTTTTTAATAGCAAATTAAGCTAATTTCTACATTTAAGCACACATTATACTTATGACTATAATGAACCGACATTTTTCTACAATTGATGAACATTCGACTTTCTCTTTGCCTTTCCTTTTTCGTGTCAAGGATTGATTGATTGAAAATGTTGAAAATATTTTAAATCTATGTGCCATAGGCATTGTCATATATAATTACATACATGTCCTCAATATATCCAATTTATTTGCACATTTTTCAATGATAATTGCATAAGTTTGTTCTTTGAATTCTTTGCTGTAAATCATATTGAATATAAAAAATAATATTTTAATTTTAATTTTTACTCAAAATTTTGCCATAGCATAATGTTTTTCATTTTATTGATGTTTCAAGTATTGGATGAAACAAATTGATTAACTTTGTGATAAATTTATAAATATAAAATTAGTATTGAAAGATGTAATTCCTCTTGTGAAATTCAATTGTTCAATTAATTATTTTTGTCATTCATATAATGATAATCAATAATAATAAATTAAATTAATTTATGTTGAGTTTAATATTGATATATTAACTAACAAATATTATTTTTATTATCTTATCATATATCACCACTAATCTCTCACATCTATGATTCCCGTGCATTGCACGGTCAAATTACTAGTTATAATTATAACAATCAATTACATTTATCTCGGTGCTTTTGTCTAATTTTAATTTTTATGATCATTTATAATAAATATTATTTTCTTCACGTCCTTAGCAATAATTTTCCCTTGAAAATATGCACACCATCATCTTTCATTCAAACACGTGTAACAGATTGTACTCATAACTATTCATCTTTCTATGGCAAATAAAACTAATTAAATATGTACTAAAAAGCATCTAAATTCAGTTTTACAATATCTTCAGCATACCAAGAACTTCACACGCACCTCTGTAGTAAGAGTTTATCATTGTTCCAAACCTCCGCTGGCCCCTCCAATAAATTCAAAGTATATTAATCAAGAACACCAAACAACTGGTGACAGGTTTTACAATAAGCAATTCCATTAACAACAAGTAGTAGTCAAATATATACAACTCCAGAAATCTGGAAAGGATGAGACAAATGAGTTCAATCAGGTCACAATTTAATATATAGGGTATGTTTGGATAGCCTTCTAACTTAGGTTAGAGTAGTCCAAACTTAAGTTAGAATGTTAAAAGCTCAATAAATATTGTTTGAATAAAAAAAAAATTATAACTAGCGTTGAAAGGCAAACGCTCGTTTAACGTGAAGCTATAAAAGATGGCTTTTGGAACGTAGCGGTGGGATTATAATAGGAGAGAAGAAAGAGAAAGTCATATAAATAATATTATACAGATTCCAACATATAGAATTAGAGTTTTTTTTTTTAAGTTACATAATTGTACTAACCTAATTTTTTTACAATGTCATACAGGAACCTCATTTTTTAACGTAAGGGTACTTTTTTTTCTTTCCTTTTCATAAGTATATGAAACTAGACGTGAGTTTTATGCTTTATATTAAAATATTATAATTCATTTTTCAATTAAATTAGATGAGATTAATTCATTGGCAATATTATAATTTTTTTAAAGTTTATGTATAAATTTGAATTAAGAAAACTAATAGTCTAATTTAATATTTTGTAAATTATCATTTTATTCGAACTTCTAAAAGTTTAAGATTTTTAATTTGTCAATTTATTTTATCTTTTAGAATTGAATATTTTATAATTTATAAATGAATTAATGAGCATTTTAAACCTTGAGGCATTATACAAAAAGCGTTTTAGATCCTGAACTTATAAGATGCGTAAAACATACTTTAAACTTCTAAATTCATAGCAAATAATATTTATTTATTTAATAGTGAAAACTTAAGATTTCATTTAAAATAAGTTTAAATATTAAAGAATTTTAATTAATTAGTTAATTTGGGTTTAAAATTCATTGATAAAATCGTCAGCTATTGCATCCATTGTTTGTAAAATTCTTTGATACTTAAACTTCTTTTTAAATAGGATCCTAAGTTTTTACTATTAAATAAATAAATATTATTCAAAATAAAACTAAATCTCAGCTGAATATTTAATATTTTTTACTTATTAAATATAATTTATGAATTTATTTTATCTTTTCATAGTTAAAAATTTAAGGTTTTTTACTTATTAATTGTAATTTTAAGTTTGTTATTTTTTACTTATTAATTAATCAAAAAATACATACAAAAATTTATGTTTATTTTTGTTATTAAAAATCTCAACTGGCTTTTGAATTAAATCATCCAAACAAATTTTTATTTATCTAACTGACTTTAAAAAAAAAAGTATCCAAACATAAATCACGTTATATTAACTGACTTTTTCTCTAACTTCAATTTGCTAACTTAAGTTAAATTCTAACCTCAGTTGTAAATTTTTTAATTCAAACACACACTTAATCTAAACCGCAACATAACCTCTTTCACTAGTGGAGACTAGAGATTGGGCCAAAGAATTATGGAAATTCATCGAACAGCTTGCGCGCTTCAACGGACCATTGCAGTTAATGTAGCCAGCATTGAGTTTATTGCCAAAGGATAAGTACGAAACACTCGATATGATAACGCGGGTCTGAACTCTACTGATGCTTCTTCAAGATTTTGTCTATATATTGCCCAATCAGAGAAGAATAATTGAAAATCAAGCGATTAAGTTTTGCAAGTAGAAAAAGGAAAGATAAAAAATAAGCCAAGACTCTCTCTCACTCGTCGGATCTTCGTCGAAGTTTGGATCAAAGCATGATATTGAAATTTCCAGTGAATCAAGAAGAGGCAAGTGCCGACAAAAAAAAAAAAGAAATCGGAAAAATCATATGGTTTTTGATAAAATATCTTCGGAAAAACCCAAACAAGAATGGTTTGCTAAAATATCTCTCAAGTGATCAAATTAAAACCACGACCGCCTTTCTGGATAAGATTCAGAACCTTAAGAATCTCCCAACTCAATTCAAAACCTGAATTCCACCTTCAAAAGAACCATGAAAACCCTAATTTTCGCATCAAACCCAATTCTCCATCTCTCAGAACTTCCCACCAGAAAACCCAAAATCGCATATTTTCAAACCATCCCAATCACTACCATCAAGCACGAATTCAAGCCACACGCAAATCCCAAAGGCTTTTCATCCGTTTCGAATGGATCAATCGAAACGACAAGCAAGAAGGCTAACGATGACAACAACAAGAAGAAGAACGACGAAAACGACGAAATACCTCAAGAAGTGTTCAACAGAATGATAGTGAGGATCTTAGTTTCAGTGGGGCTTCCAATGGGGTTAGGTTTGGCATTTCTTCATATATTTGGTGTTCTAAAGGAGAATCAACTCTGGGATGTGCCTCTATGGCTTCCATTCACCACAACTCTCTTCACATTTGGAGCTTCAGCTCTGGGAATACCGTATGGCTCCCTGTCCACCAGTTTTGATGCAGGCAGAAAAGAGTCTCTTCTTGGACTGGAAGAGGTACAAAGGAACTGGCTTGAGATGTGGAAGGAAGAAGATCAGAGCCAGACCTGATTGAATCATTACTCATTCTTTGGAGATGGTTTGATTTGGAGTTACATTATCAGTAAATTTCCAATAGCTGAATAGTCGATGTGATTTGTTTAATTCTGTTACCGCTGGCTGAATCTGCTATAAATTTCAACAATTGCTTTTTGTTGGATACGGTTTTAGCAAATTAAGGCAGCTTAATCTAATTCTACTATTGCTGTTACGACCTCGTATTGAATTGTCTACTGTTGGGCTGGGGGTTTAAACCATTGATGGATCCAAGGAGGCTGGAGGACAAATCCATTTATGTTCAATTAAACGATTATTTATTTTCTACCAAAAAAATGATTATTTATTAAAATAATTATGTGGTTGAGTGGCTAATTATACGGGCAAATATATGTGCAATTTTCTTATTTTTGTAACTACCCACTACTAGGCTCATTGTATGGGTGTATTTAACTCCACCCAAAGGTAACTCACATAGAAGACAAAGTTTTCCCATTAACTTCTCCCTCTCTTCTCTCTAAAAAAAAAAAAAAAAAAATCCAATGCATTTGTTGTGTTTCAAACGCCTAAATTTATTGCGGTCGAGTTACTGTGAGACAAAAACAAGGTCGATCATTGTTATTTGAGGTACCGACATTGAAATCAACAAAGCTATATTTTTATACTCCGTTTTCTTACATTAGCATCAAAGCAAATGTTTTCATATGCTTCTGTCTACCTTTTATGCTACAATCTTATTTATGGGTGCTATTGTAATTTGATTCGATTATATATATAATGTAAATCAAATTTTTTTTTTAAAATTTTGCTATGTGTGTTGATGCTACATTGCTGTGTATTATTCTTTGTTTTTTTAGGCATATAATATTTATTGTGAAGAGAAAATATACTTGAAAATATTAATAAGAGAGAGAATGATGTGCCTAAAATGAACATAACTTGCATTAAATTGGGTCTTTGAAAATGAGAGATTCAAACCAAAGGTTATTTGAGTCTTATACTGACTTTAGAGGGATTTGGCTGGCCATGGTAAAAATGTATATAGGTAAATATGGGTCATATGATGCACATTATTAACATGAGTAAATCAACAAAAGAGTTGTTTTGTATTAGTCTATAAAGGATTTCTGTACAAGAGCAAAGAAAAACATTGTGTCCGCGCGATCAAGATAGAGCACCTAGCATGCACATGAAATGGAATCTATGGAGTGTGAATAGGAGATGTTGGGCTAAGGGTTTGAACCCTTAATGGATCTAAGTGGGCTAAGGCCCAAATTTGTTTATGTCTAATTAAATAATTATTTATTAAAATAATTATGTGATTGAATGGGTGGTTATGGGAGCAAATATAGGTGTAGTTTCCTTACTTTTTTAATTGCCCACTACTTGCTACATCGTGTATGTGTGTTCAACCCCACCCAAAGTAACTCACATAGAGGGCAAGAGAGTTCTATCTGCTTCTCCCTCTCTTCTCTCTCAAAAAAAGTTCTAGTGTGCTAAACACCCGGATCCATGTTATTGGGTTACCATGAGGTAGAAACAAGGTCAAGCATTGCTATTTAAGGCGTTGACATTGAAATTGACAAAGGTATATTTTTGCATTCTATTTTCTTGCACATATTGTAGCATGCAACTTCTACAGAAATAAACTTAGCAATAATAAAAAAAAAACTTTTTCTTGTGTGTGTCTATGTCGTTTGTAGATTTGTGAAGAGTTGCATTTTCTTTGAGGATATACGACAGATTTGAACCGTTAAATTGGATTTGATTGTTTAGATTTAATAATTTTTGAAAATACATATTTAATTTTGAATGGTTTAGAGTTATAATGGAGGGAAAACACAATGAAAAAAAAAAATTGATCCACATTCGTGTTTGTTAAATTTAGAAGGATGGCTAGCAAAATCCTTTATTTATAATTTTTTCAAAATGATTCCACATTTCATATGTTGAGCTCTTTTTTTCTTTTGGTTAGTGGTACTTTTTTAGCTTCGATAGTAGTGACAATGGGTGCTGTGATAGTGGTGGTAATAAGTCTAGATTCATGGTCCCCTTCCCCAACTTACACATTTTCTATAGGTATTTGTGTGTTGCTCATTTTCCTTCCCAAGCAAAAAAAGCAAACTTTGCAATTCAGTTAACTTAATAAAATAACATAATTCACTTATGAATCTACAAAAAATTATTTGACATGATGCCAAATGCCAATTATATAAACAAGCCTAATTTGAATCAAATCAATAAATTGAAAAGAAGAAACAACCTTCTGACTATGGAAATTATTTAATCCAATAATGTTGTAGAATATCAAGTGTGTTTATATGGTCTAGACTCTCTAGAAAAGTAAAGAAAATAATGCAAGAGAAAGTAGATGCTCATACAACCACTATACAATCCACTTGGCACAATATAATTATAAACCTTGGAAGATAATCATTCATGCATACCTAAGACTAAGAAGCAATGCTAATGGTGGAGGCAGATCTCTCTCTATCACATGCAATTGATAAATTAGAGAAGGAAGAGGATAATTGAAAGACACAAATTCATGTGTACCTAAGATTAAGAAGCAACGCCAACGGTGGAGAGAGGAGTTTCCTATAGTGTTAAGCGAAGTGGATGGAGAAGATAATAGTAGAAGGCTCGACATTGATGGCATACACAATCACACATGCTAAGCCTCGACTCGAAGTGAAGAGGCAAACTGAAGATGAAGATAGTGCCACAGTAGTATTGGCAAGGCCTAGACACAGTCATGAGGCAACCTAAAGAATATGGATCTTGAATAGTGATGATGATGAGCAAAAGCAAACTGAGCAAGTAAGCATCCGTCGAAGTGATCAATTAAAGCCTAAAGAGTGAATGTGACTAATTAGACACATTATTTACATGCTTTATCCATACAATTAGGACATATTTTTTTGTGATATATTCCCTAACTAGGTGCATTCTTGGTGTTAACAGTGATAAAATTGCCTAAAAGGTGATTTGTGCATTAAGAATATTTTGGTCCAAATTTGCACTTTTTATGGAAATTGGGTTTTTGTTGGATTAAATGTCATTTTTGCCTAGATTCATCATGGTCCAATTGGTTTTCAAAAATTCATTTCGGTTTGGGACATATTGCATAAAAGTCACACTTTAGGGTTGCTGATTTGGTTAACCTAGTTTAGATTTTGCATGTGCATGTGTTCATATTGTACTTCTCACATGGCATTGCTCTGGAATTTCATTTATAAATATTCTCCCGTTTAAATAATTAAGTCCTTGTGTAAAAATATAATTTATTTTGTCACATATATTATTGGACTAAATCAAATGTTATTTTGTGACTTAGGTGAATAAATGCACTTGGACTTGTTTTAATTGGGCTAAAGGCAAGCAACGAAGGCTTTTGGGCTTGATTTAGGCATGTAAGGCCTTTCAAGAAGAGGATATGAGCTGTAAAATTCAAAATTAAATTCAAATTTAAAATGACAAGCATGTGGCGCCACATCACTCAAATCTTCTGATTAGGAAACTCCTAGTTTGTAGCCAACAAAATCACCTTGAAATTAGATCATATGCCTCCCTTCTAATCTGAACCTAACTCTCTTTATGTCCAAGTTTATTTTAGGTTTAATCCATACACATAATTTTGACCAACTCACACACACTCAAACAAGCATCCATATTAATTCAAGGGTGGATCAATTTCATCTAGATCTAAATCCATTCACTCATCTACTCATTTCTCTCATTCTCTCATCTCTTCTCTTCCATCTTTCTTCATAAATTTCATCCATCACCTACATTACACCAAAAACCACACACATATACAACCCTAGTCTCCATCTATTCATCTATCCAAGATTGTCATCTCCAATGGTAGGTGAGCTTCAATTTGACTAAGGCATGAAGAAGAGGTCTTCCATGGAGTTTGAAGGCTAAGGGGCTTGTGGATCTTAGAGGAGGAGGAAGAAGATGAGGCAAACACTTAATATCTCTTTGGTTTTTAATTGTCTACCCTAGTTTTCTTCAATGTCTTGATGTTATAAGGCCATAATTTTAGATTATTTCATCATATATTTGAGCTATAATCTTGGTTCATTGTGTTTATTGTTGAGAACTTGGTGGTCTAATTATGTTTTTGTATTTGGTACTTTCTTACATTAATGGATTTTATCATAATCTTGAGATTTTCATTAATGTCTCATCTTGCATTTTCTACATCATAATCTTTAGTGGTTGATACTTGATTTCTTGTTTTCTCATTATAATCGTGGGAGTTTACATGCTTTTTGTAATCTCCTTCTATATTCACTCAATATAGGAGATGATTAATAGAATCACCTTTACCACAAATCAGCACAGTAATCAAATGTTTTGTTTAAAAAGCTTAGGCCAAAGACTTCTTTTGCAAGATCATCAAAATCATAATATATCAGAGAATATGCAGTGGAAATAAATCATAGACATTCATCTCATCCAATGCATGCATTAAATTCATAAAAATTAGGTTGGAAATTGGTTCATGCATTGAGGTGTGCAACAAGTGCACCGCGAGATATGGCATAAAGCCATACGCCTAACTTCTTGTATCATACGCCATGGCATGTAATACCATATGCCGCGGCACACTTGTCTGATCTTTTGATGTCATTTTGACAGCAAAAATGATGAACTTTTAGTGTGCGCCGTTTTTACATACGACATCCGATAGGAATGATTCAAGCACCTAGATGAAGCTTAGCTCATAAGCTAGCTAATGAGATAGGTTTGGACAAGATCTAATGGTCCAATCAAAATTTGAACACCTGGGTGCAAAAAGGTCACTTTTTCTTAAAATTTCACTCACCTAACCACTCAAATCGATCCCTTCCTTTCATTAGACCACACAAGGCCTTGAATCAAGTCTAAAAAAACCTAATACACCTGATTGACCACTTTATATCACAATCTTACCTATGTATTGAAATCTGACCCCTCAATGGCCAATTTCCACATTTTCTAACCTTGCATAATTTGCTATTTCTTGGCATAACTTAGCTCACTTGGCCTTTTTCTCAAGACAAACACATACATTCACATTCATAATACATGTATTACTCAATCTTAGTCCAGAATTACTCATTTCATCATAATTTCTCACTTGGGGTTAAGATTCAACAACCATCACAACAATTTCATCACATAAACATACAATTGGGCTAAGGTTCCACAAAATCATTACCC